GGAAGGAAGGAAGGAAGGAAGGAAGGAAGGAAGGAAGGAAGGAAGGAAGGAAGGAAGATGGATAGCAGAATAACAGAGCGGGAAGGGACCTTGGAGGTCTTCTAGTCCAATCCCCTGCTCAAGCAGGAAACCTTATAACATTTCGGACAAATGACTTTCTAATTTCTTCTTGAAAACCTCCAGCGATGGGAGAAGGAAGGAAGGAAGGAAGGAAGGAAGGAGAGAAGGAAGGAAGAGGAAGGAAGGAAGGAAGGAAGGAAGGAAGGAAGATGGATAGCAGAATAACAGAGTTGGAAGGGACCTCAGAGATCTTCCAGTCCAACCCCCTGCTCAAGTAGGAAAGAGGCCCAGTTCCCAAATGCTTGAAGTTTTATCATGTGATGCTAGAGGTGGAGGGGAGGGGGAGAGACTGTTAGAAGTTTAAATCCAGGTTGTAGATAAGCCTGAATAACTAAGCAAGTAGTCGTAAGTCGAGGAAAACCTCTAAACCAATGTTAACCCTGCAACTAATTTCCTCCGGATAGGAAAAGGGAAACCAAGTTAATTTGGACAATGAGGATGCTTAAGAGAATATACATTTGTTCTGGTTGCGTTTTTGCAAATATTTCTTCTTCGGAATATCTTCTCCGGAAAGGCTGCCTACTGTGCAAGCTTTTCACTTCACAAAGTGAGGCCAAAACTGCTTTTGTAACACTCCCGTTCTCCTCCGGGGACGCCAGGAAATTGGAAGCTATTATCCGAGAGAAAGAGAGAGAGAAAAAAAATTCCCTATTCTTTGGCGCCAACTAATTGGGATGACGTCTCCAGAGGCTGCAACGTGGAAGGCAACATATTCCCACCTTCAATTAATTGAATTATTCTGCAACTGAGCTGCTTTTCCACGCCTGCTGGCTCCGTTTCTACACGTACGCTTTAAGTGGCTGGATTCACACCCGTGCCTGGAGCCCGGTCTTATACAACTCTCGTCCACCAAGCCATAAACAGCAAAGGCTGGGCTAGTGGGCCGCTCTAAGCCAAGATCAAGCCAGCTAAACAAGGTTTGCTGCAATGTTCAAATCATTAGTCGTGGCTGCTTGCATTCTGCCCCCAGCTGTTGCAAAAAAAAAACTCCAATTCCCAGCATGCCTCACTTTTGGACAAGTTTGCAAAGGCTGCTGGGAACTGGAGTTCACGTCATAAGGGGACACTGTTTGCAACTTTACAACGGGCGGACTTCAACTCCCAGAATTCTCAGAATGCTGGCTGGGAGCTCTGGGAGTTGAAGTCCACCTATCCGAAAGCAAGCTGGCTGGGGAATTCTGGGAATTGCAGTCCACGCATCATAAAGCATGCTGACAGGGGGATTCTGGGAGTTGGAGTCCACCCCTCTTAAAACATGATGGCTGAGGAATTCTGGGAGTTGGAGTCCCCCCATCTTAAAGCACGCTGGATGGGGGATTCTGGGAGTTGAAGTCCACCCCTCTTAAAGCATGCTGGCTGAGGAATTCTGGGAGTTGGAGTCCACCCCTCTTAAAACATGCTGGCTGAGGAATTCTGGGAGTTGAAGTCCACCCCTCTTAAAGCACACTGGATGGGGGATTCTGGGAGTTGGAGTCCACCCATCTTAAAGCACACTGGATGGGGGATTCTGGGAGCTGAGGCCCACCCCTCTTAAAGCACGCTGGATGGGGGATTCTGGGAGTTGGAGTCCACCCCTCTTAAAACATGCTGGCTGGGGAATTCTGGGAGTTGAAGCCCACCCATCTTAAAGCATGTTGGCTGGGGCATTCTGGGAGTTGAAGTCCTTCCATCTTAAAGCACGCTGGATGGGGGATTCTGGGAGTTGAAGTCCACCCCTCTTAAAGCACGCTGGCTGAAGACTTCTGGGAATTGAAATGCGCACATCTTTCACCCAGCTAAAGTTGAGAAATGCTGACTGAGAGCAAAAGTTCCCTATCTCTGTGGCAAAGGGCAAAAAAAAAAAATTGTACTGATAGATAAAGAGCTGGGTGGAGTCTTCTCTGCATGGTGTTAATTGCTGGAATGTCAATAAAACGTTCAATGCGAGCCATAAAAATATGAGTCATTAAATTCTTCTCTCTGGCCACAGCTCAGTTTAATGGTTCGACCTCCCAAATGCTTCTGCAAATCATATTGAATTAAAGAACTCATCAGCAATATCATTTAAATGTGGGGTTGCTCCCATTTTGTGACACCACAACCCTCTAAAAACCCTCACCTTCAGTAAGTTTAAGACAGGTGGACTTCAACTCCCAGAATTCTCCAGTCAGCTCCCAGGGCATTCTGGGAGTTTCCGCCCACGCATGTCCTATAATAGGCAGGGGTTAAGAAACATGGCTTTCTGTTATGGGAACTGCAGTTCCCATCAGTCTTTGCACACTCGGCTGAGTATGGGGGATGCTGAGAGTTGAAGTCACCCGTCTTCAGGTTGCCAGGGCTGAGAAACACGGCTCTACGCTTATGGAAACTGCAATTCCCAGCAGCCTTTGCAAACTTGGCCGAGTTTGAAGGATGCTGGGAGTTGAAGTCCATACAGCTTAAAATTGCCACGGTTGAGAAACTCTGTTCTAAAACGAAACAAAATGAGGCACATTATAATAAAGAATAAAGAATTTAAAGAATAGATAGATGATAGATAGATAGATAGATAGATAGATAGATAGATAGATAGACAGACAGACAGACAGACAGACAGACAATAAAAATAAAGAGATAGATGATGGATGGATGGATGGATGGATGGATGGATGGATGGATAGATAGATATAGATATATAAAGAGAAGTAGAGATTGAGATAAAGATAGTATAAAGAGAGAGAGATAAAGATGTATAGAGATAGATATATAGTATAAAGATAGATATGGATGGATGTAGTATAAAGATAAAGAGATAAGATAGATAGATAGATAGAGTATAAAGATAGATAGACACACAGACAGACACATATAGATAGATAATATAAAAATAAAAGAATATATATATATATATATATATATATATATATATATATATATATA